TCAATGTAGGCCTAGAGCCATCAATACCAATATCTAACATGTATAAGCTCACATGCCTATCATTTTTTATGAATGTGGAATGTATTTTCCCCTTCCATTCATTTGATAGCTAATCACTAAGTCATTTGACTTGCAAGTTAACTCACCGACCTCAATTACGCTTGCAATCATATCGTCATATAAACCATTGCGACGCAACGCAATGGGCACTGTCATCTTACTAAAAGATCTCCAATTACAGCTTTTGGGAGTCTCCTCTCATACTCTCATATAATCACCACCACCAACAACAAATTCAGTTACTACCATTATAGACTACAAAGATATATACTAGATTACATTATCAGTCATTAACGATTGATGAAGTCTGACATCCGTACAAAAACGTGACTGAATGAGATCGTGGTTCAAAATGCAGCTCCTGCAATGGCGAAACAGATTTTTAATGCTTTTAAACTACTAAAATGTATCTATAATGAGTTATCAAGTGTTTATTATGGAAGATTTCTCAAATTTCTAAAATGGTGGGGAAATCATTTTGAAGCTTGGTTTTTGAAAGAAAATGGAGTAAACATGACTATGGAGTAGGAGATGATGATGATTTTACCTTGAAAATGGATATTTTGACCCAAAAACTCGCCAGTACCCTCCCGCTATAGTGGGTAATATCACTCCATGCGTGGCTGCCATAGCGGAAATATTTCCGCTACAGCGGCTCCTGCTATAGCGAAACAAGGACACTATACCGGCCTTCATCGGCCAATACCTTTGAGTGGTGCATCAACGGCACCTCCAAAAGTGCCCTACTATCAAAATGTGTAAATATCTGGATATTTAACTTCTAAATGTTGCTCGAATCAAAGTTTCTAACCGAGAATAACCCTTTAATTTCCCTCCCCATTTCGGACCCATTTTGGTATTATATTCCATTATTCTGGAAAAAAAATTAACTTTCAATTAGATAACGATTAAAAAATTCCTAGTAAATAGAATATTTTTATTTCTTAATCTTTTTTTTTTCTACTTGAAGTAGGATACGTATTTTCTAATTAAAAAAATATGTGTTTAAAAAGAAAAGAAATAATATATTTATTTGAAAAAAAATTATTTTTGACTTTGTAAATAATAATATGTACATTTTTTTTATAAAATTATTGACGACAAAAATATTTTTTGAAAAAATATAACTGCTAGCATTTTTATAATTTTACATAGTTTAAAAACTTTTAGTTATTTCCATAATTAAAATAGTCACCGTTAATTGCGAATGCTAGAATGCCCACTACTCACTAGTCACTACCAAAAGTTTATATTATATTTATGGAAATCTCGAATTGGCTGTTTTACAACTTCCCACAAAAAAATCAGGGTAAATCATGCTTTATTTATTTTGAATATGTACAAGTAGAAAGTAGATTTTTTATTTATCCAAATAAGAAAAAGTACCTGTAAAGTCATTGTCAAATTAGCATGCAAACATGCTGCATCCCTATCACACAACATTTGATGTTGTATATTTCCAGGATTTATTTCACTTGTTAATTTTTTCTAGGTGAATATATTTGCAGTATTCTAAATTTGATGGTGAATTTTATTGAAATACTTAAATTATGATTTCAAAAAGTGTTTTAATAAAATATTTCTGACTAAAATATGTGACTTCATTTAATTATACACCATCAACCACAATTGAACAACTTAGTGAGAATAGTGCATATAAGCAATTGATGTATCATATTTTGAGTGGTGCTTTAAAATAAATACATAATATGTTTCAAAATTTGAGACGAAAATGTCATGTAGAAATACTTTATAATATTTGTTTAGCTAGGTGCATAATCAAAATAAATCGTAGTTTAAGTGTTCGAATAAAATTTACTAATAAACTTGAGGATTTATTAATGTATTTCACCTTTTTTCTATGGTTTCCCTTCATTTAAAAATACAAAAAAATAACATCAATAATGTTCACGGAGGAGAATTTTAGTTCATTTGATTGATTATTTAAACTTTAATCTTATTGATAAGAATTTGATTTCCACCTTGTAATTTCTTCCTCGTTTTTCCTTACCCTACCCCAATTTTTTTTTATATAAAAATAAAATTGATGCTGATGGAAACTGTAAATTTACAAAAGATGGAGGACTAAAAGGGAGATAAAAACATTTTAGCATGTGGAGGATGACAAGCTCACAACTTTTAGGGTGAAGTGGTCAGTTTAAAAGAAATAATTTCAGTAAAAGCATGAATATTCAATTGGAAAAAGTTGCCACTAGAAACTTCAGAACTTTGATATAAAATATTCCATGATCCTACCTGTAATTCCATTTGGCTTTTACTTTAATAGCAAAGTGACATTCAAATGGTTAAGAAATAAAAAACCCTTTTAAGATTCTTAATATTGAACTAATTATATTTTTAACGTTAATGAATTCATATCGATTATTTGTTGCAAATTTTATATATATTTTTTTATGTAAATCTATATTTCATGTTAAGAATAATGAATTCAGATGTATTTGATATGACCATTCTAGATTCGCCTTTGACCATATCTGCTTATTGTTGTTTTCTAATTTCAAGATGTGAGAATTTTTTTAGCCAATTTAGTAATGTAGCAATAAAAAAGAGAGTAGATTTTGGGGTCGAGCCGAGACAGGTCTAATCCAGCTAAGCCAACTGAGGCTGCTATAGTACAGAGTTGTGCTAAGCTAAGTTGAGTTTTATTATAACTTAACCGAAATGGTTATTTTCTATTTATTTAACGAAAGTTCATGAACTTTGGCTATATTTCATTTTGAAAATTGAAATTGTGTACGACCATGAATATAAATCAAATTTGATTTTGATTTTGATTTTTTATGAGCAATTTGAAGTGAATAAAGTGAATTTTTTTTTTTTGTTATTTTTGAAAATTCTTAAATACAACTTTAAGTTGAGTTCTGAAATTTAGAGTTAAATGTGTTTTTCGGAGTTTAACTCCGAGAAGAAAAGTGATTTTCTGAAGTATAATTTACCTGAATCTCAAAGTGTTAAGAGCTAATTACATTATTTATCTATTCTTTTTCAAATTACAAAAATCCCTTAAAACTTTTGAGTTTCGGATACATCACTAGACTTCCGGATACATTAGCAAATATCTGAATATATAGGTGAGGGATGTATCCGAGAGGAGAGGAATATATCAGAGAAGGGATAGGACATTCAAATACATCTTTGGACTTCTAGATACAACAACAGACATTTGGATACATATGTGAGAGATGTATCTGAGAGGGGAGGGATGTATCAGAAAGGGGAGGGATGTATCCGAGATGGAGATAAGGATGTATCAGCGAGAGGAGAATGATATGTATCCAAAAGGGGATTTTTAAATGATAATTTTTTTTTTATAAATTATGATAAAATAAGATGTGTATATAGGTAATTTTTCATTTTCTTAATGGCTAAGAGTTTTCATAAGCTTTGTTTAGTTTCTCTACCTCCCATCAATTTTATTGAGGTCAATATCAATCATTCTTCACTATTATCATTTATCATCAATTTCATTAGTTCAAGAAAAGTACGTTTGTGGGGAGGGGAATATTTCCTTATCTTTTTATTCTTGTTTTTTTCTTTCTTGTTTTGTAGGGTTCTTTATGAAATTTGCACCACAAACAAGTACGAAATTTATTACAATGAATTCTCACATTAAATTAACCCACACAAAATTAAGATAATGCCCTATTGGGTAATTTTACCTCTTTCTGATTCGAGAGGGAGAATAATTAACCATTTTACTCCCTCCTCAGTCCTCAACAATAAAATTAGGGGTCGTAAAATAGTTTGTTTGGAGATGAGTTATGTATGTACTAAATTATGCATAAGAAATATTATGTTTGATAGTTAATTAAGTAAGTTATTTAGGTATAAAATTAAAATAATGTTTGATTTGTAATTTAAAAATTCACATATTTAATACATATACTACATATAATTTTTATGTATATAATAGAAAGTGTAATAACTAATATATAAATAAATAATCATTGTATAACTAATAATATCTACATAAAATAATACTCACTCTGTCCAACTTTATGTGACACTTTTCATTTTTTGAGAGTCAAACTATTTAAGTTTGATCGAAAATTTGCATGTGGAATCTTTATTTTTTTAAAAATGAAATTTATATATTTGTAAACCACGTAAAAAGAACTATAATTCACAATAATTGACAATTTAAAATAATTAAAAGATATTTAAAAAATTTACAATAAAAAATAACTTGTTTGAATCTTAAAATCCGATAAGTGCATATAAATTGGGATGGAGGAAGTACATAAATTTCCTTATCTCGTAATTAATGTTGAATAACTTTTTACAGCTAACAAACGGCCCTAAATGTATGAATTTGTTTTATATTTACCCTAGATTATATTATTTTATGCATTGTAATAGGAAATATATCTCATTTTAAAAATCACTCTCTATTTTAATTTATTTAACTTATTTTAATTTGACACATAGTTTAGAAAATAAAAAATAATTTTAAATTTTGTGATTTCATATTAAAGATATGTCTTATGTACTAAGATAACTTTGTGATCTTAAATAAATCAGGCGAAAAGTTAATATTAAATTATTACTAAAACAAGAAAGAGTTATTTTCTTAAATGGATCGAAAAAATAAGTCAAATAAATTAAAACAAAAGAGGGTATATACACTTTTTTTTTTATGAATTAACTATAAATATATTTTGGATGATGTGATAGTTTAACATCTTTTTATAGAATCACTCACTGTAAATAAATTATACTTTTTAGACACCCCACCACTCCACTACACCCCCACCATCCTGTCTTCTCGATTGTCCCCATCTCTACCTTTAATTTTCTTTTTCTGGTCCTTCAAAATTTTTGTGCTGCATATTATATGACATGATTTTTATTTCTCTTCAATAATATGTACATAAACAATTTCACTTGTTGAATGTGCTTTTCTGTTTGTATATTTTTTTCATTCATTAAATTATGGCGGGTGCAATCACAAATTTTGAAGAAAATGATGATGAATATAATGGAGTAATTAGTAGACAAGAAGTTCAAGCTGCCATTGCTAAAGCTGTAGAGCTTAGAGCTATTCATGCTTCTTTATTACAGGGTATTAATAATAATAATAATAATATTAATAATAGCCCTGCTAATTTCATCAAGTTTCCTCCTCATTCTTCTTCTTCTTCTTCCCCTGCTGCTAATCTCTTCTCTGCTCAAGATTATCCTATTTTTACACCAGTAAGTTCTCTTCTTATGTTTTAATCACTGTATTTTTGATATTATAGGTTCAGTACTTGAATTTTATGAAATTTAGTGTTTTTTTAACATTTTATTGTCATAAAAATATTGGGCTTTTTTTGTAGTCACAGGAGGGAATTTGGATTTTTTTTCTTGGATAATTCTGACCTACTAGGTCCAATATTCATTTTTTTTAAGTATCCTTGTTTGTATGGAAAATAAATTAATCGCAAATAAAATATGAAGAAACAAGAATATTTTATTAATTACACTAGGGATTAATTCGAGTGTTGGTAGTAGTTTATTTCTCAAATGTAGGATGATTTAGATTTTTTTTTTTTTTTTGAAGTATTTGCTTGTGAAGATGAGTCTGGACTTATCTTAATTTCTTTATGAATATCTCAAGAATTTACGAGATATCGGAGATGGATCTTTAAAAAAATATATTACTCTTTGTATTGGCTTACACTATGGGAATTTGAACTCTTTTTTATGTGATCTTTGAACTATTTTCACCTTTTCTAAATTTGCTACCACTCACATGAGTGAATGACAGTGAAATAAGTTAATGAGCAAATCCTAACTACCATATTTCAGTCCAGTCATTTCTTTGGTCCAAATGGAGTATCGCCTCATATTTTCTGATACTCATTCCTGTTTTATCTGTTTATATTTATGAAAGTAACCAACACGGGTTGTCGTGGGATGGATCGGATCCCACCATGCTATTTGAGGTTAAGCTTTAGGTGTGAAAAAAATCCTTTAGGGAGCGGTAAATAGGTCTTATTTGGCGTGAATACAGATTAATTGCTCAGATGGATATGCTTTTTGTTCAATTTTTTATGGGAAGCCATCCTAAATTTCTGTATTTTAGGTTATCCTGATTCACCATGTTTGAAATGTATGCAGAGTTATGAAGATGCTCCATTACCTGGATCCAAACAACTACACCTCGACGATCGAGGCTACACTGACCTTTGGGATGATTATGGCCTTGGTGGAGTAGCAAATTGTGATGAAGTCAGTGTATCGAATTACAGAAAGGCGAATTCCTCCTTAAGGAAAGGAGTTTCATCCAATTTGATCAATTCTGAGTCTCATAACTGTCCAACTGATGATCAGAGATCGGTCACCGGCTCTTATACTGGTCATATCACTCTGCTTAGAAACTCTCCTGGTGGTGATTACTCTAACTCTAGAAGAAGCTCTTTGGGTGACTTGAGATCGCTTTCGTCTTACAATAGATCATGTAAACTTGCTATGGTAAGTACTGAGACAGATGGTGCTAGCAAAAGTGGGAAAAGCTCTAATGTAATCGTGCCATTGACAAATTCGCACTCTTTAAATCAATTGCAGCCAAAGAGTAAAGGAATGAACTTGTCGTGGTTGTTCCCTAAGCTAAAGAAGAAAAACAAGAATGAAAATTCACCATATCGGAGAGAGGCCGAGGAGGTTTCTCAGATTTGTAAGGATCACATCGGGGTGGTTTCTGTTGAAACGTTGAGGAAAGAACTCGTGGAAGCAAATGAGAGCAGAGAGGCAGCCTTGATGGAAGTCGCGGAAATGAAGTCTTCTTTAGGAGGGCTAAAGCAAAAAATGGAGTACTTAGAAACTTATTGTGAGGAGCTCAAGAAAGCCTTGAGACAAGCAATTCAAACAAAAGAATCCCAAGTATCCAATATGCTTATAGATCTTCCGAGAAGGGGGAAATCAACGGATGGGGATGGAGAAAACACGATTCCTGTTAGTGAAGAGGTAATGGTTGAAGGATTCTTGCAGATAGTATCGGAATCAAGACTATCCGTTAAGCAATTCTGCAAGACTCTTATTGCACAAGTTGAAGAGACAGATAATTCCTTAACCGATAACTTAAACCTTCTACTTCAACCTTACAAGCTTTCCCTTAACTCGAAACACTCAAAGGCGATCCTATACCATATTGAAGCCATCATAAACCAGTCACTCTTCCAAGATTTCGAGAACGTTGTGTTCCAAAAGAACGGTGCTCCAAGACAATTGGACCCTCAACAAGATTGCCACGATCAATTCTCATCGTTTGTCTCGTTGAGGAACCTAAGCTGGAATGAAGTGTTACGAAAGGGGACTAAATACTATAGTGAAGATTTCAGTAAATTTTGTGATCAGAAAATGTGTTGCATCATCACATCACTTAATTGGAGAAGGCCATGGCCAGAACAACTCCTACAAGCATTCTTTGTGGCTTCTAAGTGCATTTGGTTGTTGCATTTACTCGCGTTTTCGTTCGATCCTCCACTTGGGATTCTGAGAGTTGAAGAGAATACAACATTTGATAAGAATTACATGGAGGACATATTTGGAGATAGGCAAAAATCACAAGGTACAAGTAAGGTTAAGATTATGGTAGTGCCTGGTTTCTATGTACGTGATAGAGTACATAGGTGTAAGGTAATTTGCAGGTACAAATCTGCAGCTTAATTGCTAATATAGTTAGGATATCCTTCTCAATTTTTTTTATCTAACATGTAATGTTGATCAGCCTATGCTAATCATTTGCTTGAACGGATTGTTTGGTAGAGTGCATTAGAAAAGATAATGCAAGATTATCTTTGTGTATTGTTATTATATTGTTTGGTATACGTTTTTGTACAACTTATGCAAGCATTAGTTATCCATCAACAAGGGTTATGGTGGAGTGCTAAGTACACTTTCATCCTTAACCAAGAGGTCTCGAATGTGGGATTTTCTGGCGCAAATTCGGATTTAGTCGGGCTCCAATGTGGATACCGAACAGCGGGTGGCAAATTAAAAAAAAACATTAGTTATCCATGGACCATGGGATTAGTAATGCAAAAAGGGTTTTAATGCATTCATTAGCATGATTAAAGACATAATTGTCCCTCAAATCTTTTCCACTTCATTTCGAGAATATTTATGGAGGACAATTTTGTAAATTATTTTCATATTTTTTTAGAAATCATGCAATGCATGTTATTTTTAATACACCAAAGTCAAACATTGCATACAAAATAATCTCAGCATATTTAATGCAAGAAGCATTCTTCAAATACTAGTATACCACATTCAACACTATTCTTATACATCTATATATGTCCTACCAAACGATTCCTAATATCAATCATTACACTCTGATATAATACTTCTATGGAAGAAATGACGCAATTACTTATCCTACTCTCTTTGGATTTTATCTTATTTTATTTTAATTAGTTTTCCAATTAATGAAATGAACCATATATTGAATAGTGTTACGCTGACCACCAACCTACTATAAATTATTATAACTTCTTCCATTACAATTTGTTTGTTCTATTTGTCTTTTTAGTAAATTTAGAAAAGAATGGATCTTTCCTTTTTTCACAGCTCTTTAATTTCGACTTTTCACGTGATATGTTTATGACCACATGATTAAAAAAAATATTTTACTCCCTCTGTCCCAATTTATGTGGCACTTTTTGGATTTTAAGATTCAAACAATTCTATCTTTGACTGCACATTTATCATATATCTTTGAATTATTTTGAATTGTCAATTATTGTGGGGATAAGGCACAAGTAACCCTTAGACTATGACCGAAATCTCAGAGACACACCTTAACTAAACTAAGGTCCTATTACCCCCTGAATTCATTTCTTATATAATTTTGTACACCTTTTGGCTTATGTGGGACACTCCGTGACTCCACACAGTTGAGGCAAAATCTCATAGACACACCTTAACTAAACTAAGGTCCTATTACCCCATGAATTCATTTCTTATATAATTTTGTACACCTTTTGGCTTATGTGGCACACTCCTTGACTCCACGCAGTTGAGGCGCGTGGGAGATATTTGGCTGCCACGTAAGCCAAAAAGGTGTACAAAATTACAAAAAAAATGTATTCAGGGGGTAATTGGACCCTAGTTTAGTTAAAATGTGTTTGTGAGATTTCGGTCAGAGTCTAGGAGGTACTTGTACCTTTTTCCATTATTGTGACTTATTGTACTTTTTACATAGTTTACAAATATATAAATTACATTTTAAAAAATGAAGATTTCACGCGCAAAATCCGGTCAAACTTAAACTGTTTGACTCTTGAAAGTTGAAAAGTGTCACATAAATTGGGATAGATGGAGTAATATATATTTGACATAAGTTTAATTTAAACTTCGTGTCAAGTCAAAATAGAATAAATAAATTGAAACCCAAAAAATATTATTTTTTCCATTTTATCAAAGCCATAAAATTCCTTCCAATCTTCTATAAGATAACTTTGTGAGTTTTTGAAGACCAGAATGCTTATCTAAAGATATAAAAAGTGAGCCACTAATGACAGCGAAGCCGCGAGAGAAATTAAGATTTCATTGGACATTTCCAATGCAAAGCCAAGGAGCCATGAAACAATATTAGCCACGCAAATAGAGGAGTTATTATTTTTAAAAAAATAAAAATAAGTAAAAAAAAAATTAAACAATAGCTATTATCTTTGTGAACTAGTTTTATTTAATTTTTTGAAAAGGTAACATAAAGGTGAAGATATTTGATTTTACTTATAAATTAAAATTAGAAGTATATTGAGGTGGACTAGGTGCCTATTTGGCCACATAGTTGGGAGGCAAAAACACTTTTCTAAGAAATGTGTGCTTAGTAGAAAATTTTATTAACAATTTAATTTAAATATTATTTATTTGAAAACTATATAATTCCTCTATTTATATTAAGCCAATTTGTTGGGGTCTGACACACCACATAATAAAAATATTTAAAGATAAAAATTAAATTTTATTTTTCACTGTTGCTATTTTGATTATTCCTGAACTGTTCTCCTAGAAAATGTAAAGTAACTAACAACCTCATTAAAAGGAAGAGTAAATAATTTTTTTTTTAAAAATCTCTACAATTTTCTTGAATTTCAAAAAATTTACTTAATATAAATTGTGAAAATAGTCTCAACAATTCACTTAATATGAACTATAAGGAGTATCAATTATTCTTATAATACTAGTATAAAATTTATAATATCTTTAATGAGTTAATATTGCAAAAAGTCAGTCAACTTTGAGAAATTATCTAATAAAGTCACTAAATTTTGTTTTGTATCAATAAAATCACCAACTTAGATTTTTGTGTCAATAAAATCATCCAACTAAATTTATTATTAAAATAAATTTGACATGACAAAATTATTTTTTATATCATGCTAAGTTCACTTTTAATTTTTTCTTTTAAAGTTAAAAAATAGTTAAAAGCAAATTAAGCCCTTTCTTTTTTATTACATAATGTCAATCTAGAGTCGTTTTATGGTCTATCTAACTTCTTGTTATATACTCTAATTACAACAAATCCATCCAACAAAATGGATTATTACAGTAATCTAAAAAATATCTAAACAATCATAACAAATTACAGTAGTTGATTTACATAGATAATAGTATATTTTTTACATAAATAAAATTATTTCGATTAAATATGATTCTTTTTGGGGTACTTTTTTAGATTAATTATAATGAAGTAGTAATTTTGAGACATTTGCTTATTATTTTAATAATGAACCTGACATAAAAAAATAATTTATTTTATCATATAAATTTAATTTTAATAATAAATTTAGTTGAGTAATTTTATTGATACAAAGTTATTGAATGATTTTATTGATATAAAACAAAGTTTAATAACTTTAATCCTTATTATGTACTTTTGTGATGCGACACTGAAATAATAATATGCCTTTGCCCTATTTTTTTTTTTTAATGCTTCTCAAATCTCACTAGTGCATGTTTCCTCATTTATGTGTGTGTTGCTCCTTTAACCATGAATTAACATTGATTATTTTCTCTCTCTTAATTTATTTTTGGTTCTTTTTAATGATGCCCAAATGAAAAACAATATTGGGGCGAGAATATTAGGGCAACGGGGGAACCAACTGTTAAGGGGAATGTTTGATGTTTGTCAAAAGGAATGTGCTAAGTAGGGGTGTCAAATGGGCGGGTTGGGTTGAAATTGGAGATATTAAAATGAGTTGAAATAAAAATCGGGTTGGGCTTGACCCGCCCAAATTTACTTTGGGCTCAAATGAGTTGGGTTCAAATGGGCTAAAAAATGGGTTGACCCGATTAATCTCAATAATTTTAACATAGTGATATTTAACTTCTATAATCACAATTCGAATTTCAGCTCAAGATTTTTTTTAAAAAAAGTAACAAATGGATAGATAAATCCTAAAAGATGTTAAATACATAATAATTCATGCCTTTAATATAGGAACATATCTTAGTAAATAGATTTAAAAAGGGTTGAAATTGGAGATGGAATTGGGCTCAATTGAGAATTCTCTTAGAATGGGTTATGCTTGAATGAGTTGAGATTGAACCCAATTCAAATTATCTTGAGCGCAACGCTTAAAATTCTGGGTGGGTTACATATGTTTGGGTTCATTTTTGACACCCCTAGTGCTAAGTAAAGGTCTCACCCATGTTGCTAGAACCGACAACCATTACTATGAGCCTCGTGATGATACAAGCTCTTGCCCATGTTGCCAGAATTGTCATATACTTTACCGAGGTATATAACACAACTCAACTTATGGATCCACTAAAAAGCCTGCTTCTTGAGGCAGGTGAGGAGTCGTCGGGATTTCGATACAATCCTATCTATGCTGGCGGTGTAGGTTGTGAGGTTTGAGTTATCTAAACTTTTACACAAATCGTTACTCAATACTACTCCCAAAATATATGAAATAATGCCCATATAATAGTACTCATTGGGTTGAGTTAACACTCGAAAGACCCTCTTTAAGGGATACCTGAATTTTATTTTACTGATTGAAATGCTTTCGAAAACTATTTATGCTCTTCTCGAAATAATACTTCTTTTCTCAATGCAAAATAATACATTTGAAACCATTAGTGTTCCTTTAAAACTCTTCTCAAATAATGTTAAAAATATACTTACTCACTTTAATTTCCGAAATCAATGCATGAAAATACTTGCACAAAAGCTTTCAATAAAATCTCAATAACTAGGGTTTATGTGATAATATAGCATGAACAACAACTCAAGGATCTCAAAGAATAAAGTATCAATCTCATAATTAAGAAATCAAAACTCGGAATAAGAACACAAACCAAATTCAAAATTTCATGGGACTTTGGGTAGAATCCTAGATTTAACTCTTTACTGACTGAATTTAGATGTAGGACGGGAGGACGAACTTAGTCCATCACTATGAATAACCTTACATACCCAAAAGAATAAAGTTCTTGAAGAAACTTAATGAAGATGGTTGAAAATCTAGCTTTTGCCTTGCTTACAGTGGTTTCTGTCACGACCTAGGGGTACCCCCTAGATGTTACATGGCGTATAGAACCCCGAAGGACTCCATACAAGCCACTTAGTTCTCATAACATATGCAATAGAATAATAAGAGTAAAACATATTTCAAGTCTCGAAATGTTTTTCATAAAAGAAAGTGGAAGTCTAGACACTTGTCTCATTATAGCCATCTATTACAATAGTGAATGAAATAGGGCCTAACCCATACATCATTGTTCAAAAAGGGAAGGTACAAGAAAAAAACTAGACATATGAAATTCATCCTCGAACCATGAGGACTCACCAAGCTTGGGAACACTCAAATTCAACATGTAGCCACAAGTATGAT